TTGATTAGCAAGGAGATGACGAATTTTGAGAACCAAGCTAAAGAGATGCCCAAAGGTGACATCAGAGCCCAACTCATCCGAATGGAGGTAATCTCCCCCTCCATTGTTTACGTTTGCTCAATGGAACCATTTCACACCAGATTTTTTCTTCAGGCAGAGCGTCTTCGATACCTCCTTACAGTCTACCTCCGGACACGTATCAGAAAGGTAAATATGCATGCTTTGGAGCATTGATGTTCGTTACTTTTCGATACTGTTCCAGATTGAGCAATTTCCACATTACGCCATAAGCGAAGAGCGCTCCAGATCACATCATGAGGATCCACACCTTACTCCTGCAGAATTCGCCTTTACAAAGACGTAAGACAGCGTCGATCACTTACCCGTAAAAACCTCTATGGGGCTCTAAAAGTACAAAACTGCATTCCCTTAAACAGATTCAACGAATTGACGGCCGAAAACCTACGCCTCACTGTGTTGGATCACCTTCCTCTTAACATGCGCAAAATTGACGAGGATGCCATTGGTACGCGATTCGGTGCTCAGACATTTATCGTCTCGCACCAAATTTACCCCCCATATTCCTCACCTAGCCTTCCGACCGAATTTAGATGCTTATGTCTTCTGTCAAGTGCATTCGCGAATCGAAGTGACAAACATCGACCCCTCTGGCGCATCGTAAGCTTCGCTTTTTAATTAAATAAAATTGGTGAAATGTCTGTAAGACTAATGTTAACTATATTTCTTGCAGGTCGGAAGTGCTCACTCTAATGCCGGGAGAGCTACATCTTCTTCCATACCGAGCCGTTCAAAAGCATACCAGGAATGGAACCGTAACTCTTATTTAGACTCCTACTATACATGCCGATTTGAGAAAAAAGTCGTGAATCACCAGTCCCTTCTCATCATCACTGCTGAGTTAGAGCAGATCGAGGAATGGGAATTCGGGATTACCACGCATTCTAAAGGAGTAATGGATACATCGAGTTAAATTTTAGCACCAAGGTTGACGAGAATAGTAATAGCTTACGGGTTTGCGCGGACTTGGCGTTGGTACAGCCCGAGAGCGTTGATTTCCTTCATCTCGTCGTCTGTTAATTCAAAGTCGAAAACCTACATAAAGCGAAGAACACCCTCACCAGCTCCAAATTAGACAGGTTTTAACAATGGCTAAACTTGACATCCATGGCAGGGTGTAGTACTCACCTGGAAATTCTCCTTTATTCTCTTTGGTGTTTGACTTTTGGGCACAACGCAAATACCGCGTTGGATTCCATGACGGAGGGCTACTTGAGCTGTAGTCTTACCATATTTTTCGCCTATTTTCGTTAATACGGGTTCGTCGATCAGGCGATGTGGCCTGTCAGCTCTTTAAAACCCGAAAGAATTCATTTCCTACATACTATGCAACTGTCGACTACTCCAAATAACTTCTACTCACGCTTCGCGATATGGTGAGCCAAGTGGTGCAAAACCAGTGGACAGGATCCCTCTAGATCTTGAAAAGTCAATCAGCTTTTGGTTGGGGAAGTGAGGATTGCTTTCGATCTGTAGCATAACTGGTTTGATGCTAGCACAGTCGACGATGCGCTGAACTTGTGATTCGTTAAAGTTTGACAACCCTATGTGAAGGACCAAGCCATCCTTCACCAAATTCTCCATCGCCTATATCATGTTTTACATGAGCAAGTTCAAGTTGCCTTCCATGTTACTTCAATTTTGACGTCATCAAAGATTGTCCTCCCGTCTTTATCAGTAGGAACCAATTCATCACCCGACTAAAGTAGGGCTGGATAAAAATAGTCATACTTTGTAGGCTACTGGCCAGTGTATGAGATAGAGGTCTAAATAGGACAGTTTCAGTCGCTCCAAGGTCTTGAGACAAGCGCTCTTAACCATGTCGGGTCTATGGAATGTATTCCAAAGCTTTGAATAACCTAAAGAATTCAACACACCTTGGATGTTATAAAAAGATCTTCTCGCTTGAGTTTTCCATCATCAATCCAGGATTCTAATACACCACCAATGGCTTCTTCGTTCTGATACAAATGGGCGCAGTCAATGTGTCGGTATCCAGCTGCTAACGCCACATTGAGAGCAGGGACGACATCTTCCGACGACAACTAAGTTACGATATTTTAGCTAGCTCTAGAGTAACGTAAAACCTTATATGTTCCGAAACCAATGCAAGGTATGCTGAAACCCGACAACTTTAGACTTGGAACCAACATCGAAAGTACGACGTAACACAAAGGAGATTAACAGGAGAGTAGGCTAGGCCTGCGATTTCTCTGATCGTAGGTTGGATGACGGTGAAAATTTACGAGGGTTCACTATAAGTTGATTCCTAATCATCACTATAATAATCAAACAGAGGTTTATCTGTCTTTTGATAATTTTATTGTTAGAAAACTGAATGACTTCCTCGCATCGAAGTATTGGCCCTTTATAAGCATTGATCTAATAGTAAAAACCTGAATTACTGCAGTGTAAGCAATATTTTGTCACCAGATCATAAAAGTCTGAGTTGTTTGTTCCGGGAAAAGGGTAGCTGTGAGACTTTACGCATCCTACCTCCAGTGTCTGTAACTACACGCAACTAGGAAATTTCAAGAGTTCTGTAATATGGATTAGTAGCGTCCAGAGACTTCCCACAGCGTGAAGAGGGCAGTAAGCGAAGATAAAAACAAAGCAACTGGACCTCAGCGTAGCACGAAGACCAGGCCACAACTACAAGACGAGTCCCAAAGTGACCGCCGAACGTCAGGTAGTCGCATAGACAAAGCATTACAGGGAAACAATTAAAATGCCCTCAGGTAATGTTTGGGGACTTATCATTTACTTCAGCACAAGGTCTCATTTTTCCCCATAAAAGCGTCCGCAAGTAACTTTTGTAGAAACATAAGTACTACCGCTGGGGTAAAAGTGTGGAAACTCAAGATCAACTTCAAGAAAGAAAATAGTATGGTGTCCAAGACAAGCCTATCTGTTTTAAGCAGGAGGATGTCCATTCAAATTTTGGACATTGTCTTAAGCCCAACAACCCCGCAATAATACTATAACATCCTAAGTGACAGCAGCCGAAGCTAGCAGTTACAAAGAATGGAACAATATGTAGCGTCCCGACACTCCTAGTCGGTAATAAGAAGTCAGTAAGTGCAGCTGGACACATGTACAGGGGCCAGACAAGTTCTAAAATGACCGCCATACGTCAGGTAGTCACATTAACAAGGCATTACACTGCACCTCTCTTCTTTTGAGCGGCGTCCTCGATGCTCCCCTTGGTATACCTCCCACACTAGCCATCACAACATATTCGGTAATACAAGAAGGAACCCCCGAGCCAACTGCGCCAGCCGACAGAGAGCATGAGACTGAGGAACCGTACCTGGTCTCCTCAGCAGCTTCAGCTGAATCCAGATTTACGTTCGGTCTGACAACCAGATTCGGGACCGCATACACCTGTCGACCACCAA